AATAACTCGTATATAATGCTGAGATATTTGCAAAACTCCGTACCGCAGGTGTATGCGGTGGAGAACGAACGCGCGCTATTGTCCTCCGGGGAGTAGCGCACTTCACCACCACACCATCCGCGTCTTCCGCTTTGCCTGTCTCTCAGCTAGTTCTATTGATCTTTGCCATCAGCAATCACCCGTCAACGCGCGTTCGTTCTCCACCGCATACACCTGCGGTACGGAGTTTTGCAAATATCTCAGCATTATATACGAGTTATATTTCGCAACATACCCTGCCATTAAAAAGAAAAAGGCAGTAAATAAAAGGGTTAAGATTATCCAAGTAAGTATATTCCTATCTATACTGCCCCACTATGCTTAGTAGAGAATGAGGAAGACATTTGAATCAATCCTTTTTCAAGTTTAAATTAAACCAACTTTCCAAAAAACGCTTTTCGTAATTACAAAGCCGCTTTAAACTCGGATACGATATCCCAAATTTGCCTTGACAGGAGAAAAAAATGCTGGGGAAACGGAAAATTTTGTTGAGGGATGCAGTTTCAACAGATTTCACCACAATACAGGTTTTCTTAGGTTTTCCTCCTTAGTAACTTGTTTTTGCTGCCTTACCTATTGTAGCTCTGGATCTGAAAATTTAATGGATTCGAATCTATTTTAGGATAAACTTGAACAAAAAGATGGTGTTGACCAAATCAACCGCCTGATTTACAAAACCAATTCTCTGCCTAAGTTTGCTGGATGGTACTGATAAGGGACCTTTTAGCATTTGGTTTCATTTTCTTCTAGCTAATTTCCGCCGAACTTTCAGGATGTGCTGCTCCATACTTTTTATATTGAGATCTGTTTAAAAAAAATAAAAATAATAAAATAAAGAAATAAAAATAAAAAATGGAAGTTCCCTCGTTTCATATTCATATCGTGTTGTTCTCATTTCATATTGACGCTACGCTAATTGAAGTCGTTTCCATGTCCTTCGCAATAAATTATACCAATATTTAGTATAATTAAATTACTTTCACTAGTCGAGTGGACTTACGCCTCCATACGGAAACGTGAGAATGTGCGTTCATTAGTCGATCGCATAGTAAATAATTCTCATTATAGACGGCTATTGCATAATGTTTTTCGCAGTCATCGTGAGCTGCAATCATAATCATAAACTATGGTGAGAAGCTGCGTTATGTTTTTCGCAGCCACCATTAGTTATAATCATAACTTTGGTGAGAAACACCCGTGTGAACGGAAACCGGTAAACTCGTCCGTGAGCGGTGCTTGTCACAAGCTTTCCGGCTACGCAACCACGTAAAAAACACATACGTTCCGTAAAAGATGTATAAAGCTCTATGATCTGTTCCAATGATACGTGTTGTCTGCTGAACTTGTTTGTATAAATCATTCCACCGCAATAAATGCGAAAGTGATATGGCTAATGCCCTCCGCTGCTTCTCCCTCCTATGTGTTCACTCTCTCATGATATCTGGAGGTGTTTCTGGATGTTAAACTGGGTGAAATAAATCTAACACAACTTTAGAAACTCCGTGAGGAGAAATCTTTCATAACCAGCAGTTTACTAGTGAAATGGAGACTGTACTCAAATTCGCAAAACTTTTCTGGTTCGTAAGAACTGGTGATTCACTACTCAATTATTCGAGATGTGACCAATAATCTACGATATCTCTTCGACCAGTGTTTAATTCTTTTATCCGATAGTAAGGTAATCACAATAAAGATTTTTGGAAATAGTCTCTATCATACTATGTACCTTTTTGCGAAAATTATGATTTCTCAAACCTCGGTTTCGCAACACGGGAACTACCACAGATTGGCGAATGACACTGGAGTTCGATTTCTTTGCGATAATAGCCTGAAATTCAAAACCCTATCATTTAGCCAAGAAACCCATTACCATCGGTTTTGTTTTTAGCACAGAATTGAAATCCATAAATCTATTCTTTGTAAACGATTCCTCAACAGTTTCGCTTCTAGATTGCCTTGCAGCTAATTCCCAGAAATGAGGAAAACGAGGAAAATGGAGAGGTTCCTTTAAAAAACGTAGTTTAAAAGATGGACTGACACTAAATAAAAAGCATGGGGAGTTTAAAGCATCAATCCAAATTCTCTTATGTGCGTTAAAATCATAAGGCATAAAACATTCGGACATGGATCGAAAAGGAGCAAAAATTAAATGAAATAGATGTAAACGTGTACAACCATCGTATGCTCCTAAATTAGTGCTAAGCTACTCCAAAGATCATCACAGAAGAAGAGGAAGCTGTGATTTTTCACAACAAAGTCAGCAGCGTCATTAGAGACCATCGTTCACCCATCGATGTTGCAGCTGTGAGCGGGACGAGTTGTCTGTCGGTTTCGACTCCAACGTCTTCGATGATGTGAAGTGTATACCCCTTTGAAGTTTCTGAACACATCCACCAGAATCGAAAGTGATAATATAATGTCATATAATGACAACATATGATTAGCAAACAACTGCCGCTCGGAGTTTTGCAAACATCTCAGCAACATTATGGCTGACTTCGCATAGGACCCTGCCGTGAAAATTGAGCTCCCCAGATCAATCCTGTTGACTGGTGATTGCTGATGGCAATAGTAGATAGAAAACTAGCTGAGACAAAGGCGAAAAAAAGGACGCACATGGTGTGGTGGTGAATGCGTTACCCCCTGGAAAGGCTGATAGCACGTTTGATCCCCACCACAAGCACCTGACATCCAGAGTTTTACAAATATCTAAGCAACATTATGTGATCGTTCCTCGTCTATAAAATTTGCCAACAGATGCAGCTGCCTGTGTAGAAGGAAGATGTAGACGATATGGAAGAACTCCAGACCTTATTCGGGCACTATTGCATGCAATGTGTTATAGAACCTGTAATCAAGATTTTAAAAAACTCGACAACAGTTCAGTAGATAGTATCAATCGTTAAGAACGTAGTTGCTGTTAGATGACAACGATTTCAGATTTCCTTTAAGAAACATTTTCAGAAGACAAGCAATAAACTTCACGTAAAAGATACACATCGACCATCAGTGTTAGATTTTCAAGGAGGCACTAAATCGAAAAGAGAGAAGGGATAAAATACTTCGGGTCGACTTTTGCCGCCGTTCCGTTCGCGATTTTCTGCGGTGTTCGAAGAGGGAGCGGATCGCATAGCTAAGAAATACACCGACGTAGTTCTCGATACGTGGCCATTAGACGAAATTCGTTCTTCTTGGCAATTTCCTCCATATTTTCCACCCTTTGAAAATTTCGCTGGATAGCAGAGTTTCAGAGATCGAATCTATGTTATAAAGGCTGAAAGGTTCACAACGATTTGTCGTTTGCATAAAGAAGAAAGGGTTTGGTGTTGATCTGTTCATGAGGGATGCGCCAAGCACTTGACTTCATCGAGTATTGCAGAGTTGTTGAGAAGCATATCTGGTCTATACAATGATTTTCAATGGCCTAGTGTTTCAACAATTTACAGTATTGTATTCTCCCAAACAATGGCAACAATTTTTTGATCCCAAAGTGATAAAGAGCTTAATAAGCCCAAGAAGCGAGATCGAACTAGTGATTGACACAGGTTAAATCCCATAGCACCTCTAAACAATGTGCTCCCCGTCCCCCTTAGGCTTCGGTAGCAATAATTTTGAGTTTTCAGGTCTGCTTTCATAACTAATGAAATTTGAGAAGAAACCTCAGTAGTAATGTGGATTTTTCTGCAAGATAAGCAAAAGCATAAGTTTTCACATTACACAGAAGTTTATCGCACATTAATCATTCAAGGACGGTGATAGAATGAGTTCAGGTACGATATACCTGATCTCGTGTAACAATTGCGGAGATGAATATATTGGCGAAACGGGCAGACCTTTGTGTATCCGTATAAAAGAACACCTAGATGGCAAACGAAAACTAAGACGAAGCATCCCGCTAGGCACGCATAGGATACAAAAGCATAGCGGAGACGATTTTGAAGTAAAAGTCAATATCCTTGCACAGGAGTCCAAAACACCAGCGCGAAAACTCCTAGAGGCTTTTTGGATCAATGCCAAAAACCCTACAATGAATAGCAGGGACGAATGCCCAGAGGTCATACGCGAGCTGACCCTCTACGTTCGCATCGATTTCTGATGTGGGATGGTGCAGTCGTCAACCATATGCGACTATAATCAGCTGTTCTAAACTTCCTCATTGGAAGTCACGTAAAAAGCGGTGAGTTTTTCGAGAAGCTGTTGATCATGTACCAAAGAGTTTTTCGTATTTTTGTAAGTGTCATTGAAGCGTTTGGCCTAGTAGATTGTATATCAGTATACCCTTCCAGGCTCTGAAGAAGGCGATACTGCCGAAACGTCAGCTAGCGTTGTATTGTATTGTGTTTTTATGGAAGTAAATGTATGCTGTTTAAAAACCTCGCGATTGCTGAACAAGAAAACGACACATTCATATTCCAATGCCGAGGTTAAGAGAAAGTCGATCCTGGGAACTATTAATCATTCGTTTCAACACTTTTCTACTTAACCCTAAATCATAGTAAGGCTTCCAATTTTCTATTAAGAGCTAGTAGCACCACACTATAAACCCCATTTAGCACTTCTATAAGTGAAAGCGAGAGTTTGGTCCACGTATTCCAGAGATTCTCAGTAGGAACAATTTTCAGTGTTGCAGAAAATTTACTCATGGCGAAATTACAGCACACTAGTTGACTACAAACAACATTCGACTTGAGATTTCAGAGATTCCTACCAATACGTTTCTTCCAGAGGTATTGCGCCTAGCCCGGAAATTCGAGGGCAGATATTTTTTCTTCGGATACAAAAAGCTTTCAGCCCTGTATTACTCTCTATTTAATAGCTTGTATTATTGCACGGTAAGAGAAGACCTAACAAACCGGTTGTCGGTGGTCGTTTTCTCAGGTAATTTTTTAAATGGCTACAAAATCAACGAGGAGGAGCGATTCGTCGCCACCTGACCACGCCTTCCCATTCAGTCTGCTATGATGGCACTGCGAGTCCTTGTCACCATCCTACTGGCTACATTATTCATCAGTCAAGCCTTCCTAATTGGTAAGTTGAGCTCATTCTACACAAATTGCCTAGATAATAATGTATTCGAGAACTAATGCACCATCAATGTCAACGTCTACGAAATGTTAAGATAAGACTTGAGGCTGCGCCATATGTCTTTTTTACAGTTCCCTAAGCCAAATTCATATGATGGTGCTAAGCGCCTATGTACTCTTAAGCGAATAAAAAGAAAATAATTCAAAAAAAGAAAATTCGGACGTGCGACAGAGTAGAAGTCTCTTATTGCATGATGCTATGTGATACTAACCCGTTCGTAATGATAGGCATCAGTAGGAACTTTTAATGAGAAGCCTGTTGAATCGAGGAGCTATCAGAAAAAATTCTGCTTACACCTTGTTTCGCAGTCTTCTATAGTCACTGAATTTGCCACTAAAAACATGTATACTTGTCTTGACTTCACTTTTAACCAATTTTCGCACTAAGGCCAGTTGTTTTATAGATAGCAGCGACGATCTGAACAATCTTGTTGACTACCCGATGTCGAAGAGGAACTTCGAGCATATTTGGCGCAATATCCAGATGCAGATGCCAGGAAACCACAAGAGAACTGAGTCGTTAACGAGAGCTCGAGCAAACGCATATTATCGTCTCGGATGACTTCTAAATTTATGAGTTCAACACCTCTTCCTAAAGCAACGTGTCTAAGGCTACTTATCCTTGTTGCGATAAAGAGAAAAGCACAATGAATGTATTTAAGATGTTTTTGATATTATTTGTGGATATATAACTGCTCGAGTGCTTAACAACTACAGTGAGAGCTCTCAGAGAAATCTACGACTACCATTACAAACCCTTGCTGCTCTAATCGTCATCGTTTCACTTTAGGTGAACAGTTTCGGTAGCGCGATTCGATAAAGACGATTAAAAGCACCTCTTTCGTGATGTGACAGCATCTGTTGATGAGATTTTGTGTATAAATCTACTTTTCGCCTTGACTTTAACATTGCAAAATAGTATACACTTGTTAAAAAAGAACCGATGAAATCTCGTAGCCTGCCGTTTAGTTGTAGCCTTTTAGTGGTAAAGTACAACAATGAGTTCCTAGCCGATGCGAATTCAAGTATCGGTTGACACGCTTTCAGTTCCCTCAGTCACCCATTTACGAAGCTTTAGGCCATCGCTACCGGCTCAGAAGTGAAAATAACACTTAACGTACCATGTTCTGAGTTTGAAAGAAAAATTTTGAAACACTGAAATGAGCTTGACAAATGGAGTGCATCATGAAAACCGGATTGAACTTGCAAACATAAATATTAAAAGCCAAATGTTAATGTATTCGGCGTCGATCCATCAATCATGGATTCGTGATGCACTCCACTCCATTAAGGGGCCGTAGTGGTGAATGAACACGTGTTTGCGTATAAAATTACTTCTTGGGGCTATGATTCATCAAAGTAGCGCTCTCTAAGCTCTCAAAAAACTCCGATCTGATTTCGCACGGATAAAGGCTTGTTTACCCTAGAATGAGAGACTGAACTACAGGTTTTAAGGTACTTTTAACTACTGAGCTATACATGCCAATCTTAGATATTAGCGTGGAAAATTAGAGGCTCATAGAATACGTGAAAGAAAAAGTAAGCGATGAACAACAGCTGTGAGCAAATCCTTAGTGATTTTGATGACGTGATTGGAAATTCTCACTTTAGTAGATTGGGTACGAACGTTTTAATTCCTCTTTTTTCTCTGAAGACTTACAAATATGCAAAAAAGCTGGATAAAACGCTTATAGCTCAGCGCAGACGAACCGTGCAAAATTAACAGACACCTGATCAAACTGTATATTCTAACACTTACGGAAAAATCTCGATTTTTGATGAAACACAACTTAGAGAGGTTGTTTGACACAAGCGAAGAGAAAAAACATAGCCTACCTGAAACAGATTAAAGAGCCGTTCGTTCAGTTCCAATCGTTTAAACGTTCCACTGAATTGCGTGCGTAGGTGTCTAAGTTGTCTCGGCAGTAGATGAACATTTGGCACTCCTCCGAGAAATACTGAGTGGCCGTCAATTTGCAAAGAATCGCTTCTCGTCTGAAACCGATGCATTTCCTTTTGGTCTTACTTCTCCTCAAACACTGCAAAAACAACTCAGAATATGTGTTGTGTTGGATGTTGTGTTGGAAAAAAAGCACAGCAATCAAAACATCCTCAGTGATCTACTGTTTTTCTGATGAGCAGACAATGCTTGTTTTTAATTAATTGTTAATAACAACGACGTGCCCATCAAGAAAGCAGTAAATTAATGACCACTGCAGAGATTAATAGAGAGGAAGTCCTGGGAATTACTACACGATATACGCCTCGTACAATAAGTTAGGGAGCGCTTGTGGCGCAGTGGTCGGAGGTACCCTGCAACACACACTTGGGATCGATCCTTGCGTCCATGGCCCACCAAACCTTCCATACCACCGGGGTCGGCAAATTGGTACCAGACTTCTCTAGGAGGGGAGGATAGCAGCACTGGCTCGATAAATCGGTAGGCCACCGCGAGTCATTGTAAAGGCCAGATATGCAATCAATAACCTCCAACCGATGCTTAATAATGTTGAATGTATGGCGCATCCTTCATGAATGGATCAACGCCGGGAGCTTTATCCTTTCATTTAGTCAGAATAATGAGACAATCGCAATTAGATGGCTCTTCAAAATTATTGAAATCCGAGCAAATATTTCTTCCTTCAATGTGTTCATTAGTTTTCAGAGTGGAACGAAGTGAAAGCATGAGATAATGGAGGCAATTACTGAACGAGAAATCCTTGATGGAGAAAGGAACCGCGTTGATTCTCGGATATTCACCAAAACAATATTCAGTGTTAACACTGCAGTCAACCTTGGATGAAAAATTCAGAATAAAGGCCTGTCCTTTCCCGTTTCTTGGATCAGAAAAAAGAACAGAGTAAGTAATCACAGTTCATTTCTGTTCTACAAAATTTTCCCGATCCCGAAACACAAAAAAACTTCGTAGACCTTACCTTGCACGAAATTGAACTGACCAGCGTTTCATTGAGGTAAACGGACGCATTTGAAGGAGTCAATTCAAATCTGATACTGGTCCAGGAAGACTTGAGAGACGTTTGTGTGCTGAACATTCCATCGTTTTTGTTAAGACAATCACCTAATTGATTTGCGTCAGCAACTTGTTTTCCGAGAAGAAAATCAGCTCAGTTCTACGTTAGGTTATAAAGCCATTAGCGTCACAGCTGACTAATTTGAACTTCAAAAAATGAAGGATTTCATTCTCTTCAGCTTAAGAAATTCTGGCGTCAAAGAAGCCCATCAAATGTTCGGGTCGTTCTTATGCAAAAAAAACTATCAATTCCCACTCACAAAAAAAAATAAAAGCTTCCATTGAGACGCCTTCACTATCTTTGACCTAACAAAAACAACGTTTCTTCATTAAATACCGTATTGACTTAGCGTCCTCTCCTAAAACCCAGAATAAATGAAACTTGGAATCGACAAGCATGATGGAGATGAAATTTCCGGACGTCTGCCCGAGGAGCGATGGACCCCAATACAAAATCATTCCTGAAATCATCAATTTTATTGTTTGTAGGCATCTCAACGATGGTTTGTTGGGTGGTAACTTTGATGCAAGAACAACTTCAACTAGAATTGGCTGCTTCTGTAATAACGATCGAAATTTTTAAAAAATCTAGAAAATTACGCAAGACATTCAAGAAACTCTTCAGCGGCACTCTCAAAAGCAGGTTTCAAAAAAAGTACAGTCTTCAAAACCAAAAAAGAACCCACCGTCATTTGAAGATTTTTTTAAGCTTAAAATTATTTGGAGTCTTGGCTCCACATCTTCCGCAACGTTTTTCAGTTCGATGTACTCATCATCACCAACAAAAACAGGCTGGACATAAGAGAATCGCACATCTACAAGTATGAGCGACGAAAAATTTGAAAATTTGTAAAATAGGACTAAACATCTGAGAGTTACAAACAACTGAATAAAAGGAAATTAAACGGATAGAAAAAACCTCTACAAAAATGGTAAGCATTAGGCAATAAGATACTAGTCGATGGAAACAATACGTTAACAATACTCAGAAGCCAAAAGTGGTAAAACGCTAATATGAAGAGTTTGTGATAGTCTGCTTTCTTTCTGTTGAAAATAATACCCATTTGAGGCAAATGAACACTTGGCGCTAACAGTCCTTAATGGACTCCGGCTTAACTACCCTAAAAGCGCTCAGAAAATACGAACCTGCCGAAGATATTAAATCACTATGCCGGATTGCTCTGCCATTTATTGAGAGCTCAACGATGAGACCCGTCAACGACTCCGCTCTTAAAAATTCTATTGAGAAAAAAGACTCTACCATGCAAAAACCAAAAACGATTCTTAGCCGAACGGATTTCCGCCAATGGAGAACTCTATGACGCTTTCGTTTTCGAAAGCGACCCGACGAGTCATGGCATTGCCGCCGAGCCTCAACGACACCAGGTCTCCGCTCCAGAAAACGACTATCGTGTAGTTCTTTCCGAGCGTCAGACGCTCATGCGAATACAGTTCGTTTTTTCCAAATCTAAAAACAAGTCTTTAGAAGACGATAACATTACTCAAGAAGTCCGCAATTTCCCAGTACATTTGGCTTGCCGGGAAAGAGAAACAGTTTCATCAAATTGTAAAGAGGGCTTACAAAGGCATACATGACACTCACTAAGAGATGTTTATCGAAATCGATAACGACATTTTTCTGATATACAAGGATGATCGTTAATTAATATTTTCTTTAGCTCTAAAAATTTCTTTCTTCTAGTGAAATTGGTAGAAAAGTAGTGTACCGTTGTGTTAACACAATAGCAATCGATGTTCCGTTCCTGGCTTCTCTGTTAAAAATTGTCGGAACAAAAGTCTCTTTCTAAAGAGTGTTTTTAAAATAAAACTCTATACATAATAAAAACAAGCTACGGCTCAAAAAGTTTCGTGTCATACTCAGTACTAAATTTGATCCCCATATTTGTAAAACAAGGGTTACGTATGTTTATGAGTCGATGTAGTTAAACTAAGAGGTGGAATATTTCCGTTCTCTCAAGAGTCGACAGACCAACGGCCCGTCGAGGCGGACATGAGTGCAGCTGTATAACGGTCGTATCAGCTTATCACTTCGCCGTCAACTCGAAAAATTTCCTAGTGTTTCACCAGAAATCAATACGGCCACAGTGGAATGAGGTATAGTTGTGATGACTGCTTCTGTTCAAAGTCGCCATTAAATGCCACTTTTCCTAAGATCAGATTTGCATTACTTCTGTTTCATTTCCTTATCACGGTGGCGTTGATTTTTCGGGTTGTGCAATGCTCGATGGTCGCTCTCAGTGGCACCTGATTGCTTTGGTTAATCTTCCACTGCGCTTTTCCATTAACATTGTTATTAGTAACCAAGCAGCTTAAGTCGTGAAGGAGTACATGTTGTGAATTCGAAATATTAACCACTTCAACACCACCAATATCCAACTGTAGCTATGTGCTACAAGATTACGAATTATTTCATAGTGCATCCCAGTCATCTCCGTCATGGAAGACCCCAATAAGGTAACCTTTTCTCAGGCATGTGCAATATGTTCGACTCCATTAAGAATCACAGAGGTGACTTGATCCATTCACGTTCAAGTGACATGTCAAGTTGCTATCCTTCAGTAGAAGTTTGCTAAAGATCTGTCGCCTCAGGACGAATAGAAGGCTTGACTTCGACGTGACGTGGGACCGAACCAAAATCTATGTCTGTATTTCAAGGCATCACGTGGGACGAAACAGTAAAAGTTTTTTTACATACTGCTAAAAAGTTTTCTAGCTACACTTTTCATGCTTGCTTATACAGTTGGAATCCCTTAATGCTGAATTTATAAGCACTAAGAAAGATAAGTACAAAGAAGCTTAAACTTTGCGCTTTTAATTCAATAAAATGAGGATCGCTTAATTATCACACGTCACTCATTATTTAATAACAAAAGCAATTCTTTTCATAGTATAAGCTATCCTCTTTAAACTTCTTAGCCTTCGACCTTTTCACCAGCTTGTTGTTCGTTAAGCCAACGAGGGCACTTTGTGAAATTGAAAAACCTTTGATGGATGTCTTCATCTAATCATTTGATACTCTTTAATACTTTTCAATTTAAACATTGTGAAGGTGATCTGCTTCTAATAGCAAGGATACGTATTTGCTTTTTGAATGTTTTACTTAAACAACTGATAAGAATTAAAGTGATAACATAACCCGATCATCAAACGATCAACGATCCCAATACCAAATGGTCAACACCCTAAATGAAACTGCGATCCCTTAAGTTATCAATCGAAACTCATTTTTGTCATTTCAGGTCATCCCGGTCCGATACGCTTTCACATAAGTCGTTACGCGGTGAATCGTGTCATTCGGATAGCACAAAGGTTCTACCTTAGCATCCATTATATTTATAACATTCATTTCCTATTTGCAAAAACATTTTAGCACCTGCTCACAGCATACCGCAACCCTCTTGCAACTCTTTAAATCCCCGATTAAATTTAACCGACTATCACCAATCTCCGACTAAATTTTAGGAATATGGTCGACGTCTAAACTGTTCATGGTTGCCTTGCTGTATGGACGAAGAGGAAGCAGAGGCTTTCGGTCATCACGTTTCGATCTTCATGGTGGCTTTGGTCGCCTTCGCTACGTTCTTCTGCGTCACTCTTATATTGGTTTTGGTTTTCTTACTGGGTTAAAGTGGACGAATACATTCCATGTTCACTAATCAATGCCTATCGTTTCTATTTCTACATTTCTCATATTTCTATAGCAGATAAGTCCTATCAATTCTTTGCTGACAAACAATCTTTCACGAATTAATATGTTATATATGCATTATTTTTGCGAAGTGCATGAGTTAACTCAAGTCTTCTTCCTCAAAGTGTTTTTAAGCTAAGGATCAAACAAAATCATATTGATTATATCAAAAAAGAAATACGAATTAAGTAAGTAGTTGATACTTCAGTACTCTTCCACTCTATTCCTTACATCCGGTTCTCAGCCCATTATCAGCGGCGTTTTTGACTAGCGGACTCATCCATCATGATGTCAGCAATGTGCTTAGAAAGTCGTTGAAACGGAGCATCCAGAGATCCTCTTCATTGAGTCACTAGCTGACGCCAAAATTGGCAAATTAGTAAAAGCACAACGATCAAAAACATAAAGTACGTCATCATAAAGAGAAGTACGCTCTTTGTAATGTCATCGACACATTTACGCTTGCGTGGTTGCACTTGATAGCCGGATTTTTTCAACTTCGTAGCGTTGCCTTTGCTCATCGCCTGCACTTCGTAGGTGAAATCTACAGTATTTTTGGTGGTGCTATCTTGAAAAGAAGGTGAGAATGTGAATGAGAGACTAAGTGCGAGACAGAAAAAACCAGAGAAAACGAAGAACAAGCAAATCTTACCCCGCAACGACTCGTCGCATTTCGATTCGTAGCGTGAAGGCACCTCGAACACCCTTAGCGAACAAAATCACACCACTCGAACTTCTCGGAACCACCTAAAGCTGAAAAACCCGATTCTCCCACTAATGAATAGTTTCGGTTTTCATTTCTTAGAATTTCACATCTTAATCCCTAATCGATGATTTTCTAGGCTTCGAATTCTTTGTATTTCGTTCCTATTTTGTGTTAATGTTATACTTTCACACTAACACGAAAAAAAAGCTTGGCTATCTCCAAGATAGAAAGGGGGGAATCGATTCGACCAGTATTCTACGGCAATCATAAGTGAAGAGGAAGCCCTCAAGTGAAGAGCCGAAAAAACGCGAAATGTTCGAAGACCATTGTGGACGATGAATGCGAACAAAGCGAACAGAATGCAAAGAGTGTTGGAATACGCACAGTGGACGTGAGGTCGTAGGTCGTGTGATAACAATGATAATAATTCTAGGTTCTAAAAACGAAGACACTGGTAAAAATTGCTATGCAGGATTTGGAACTATACAACCTTAGAATCTGAACGCCATTGAATGGGTGAAGTTGAATTAGGTTACCGAAACCATAGGACCAAATAGCTCTATTTAAAGTTCTTCATGAGCCGAAATATGTGCTCGAAGTTATGTTAAAGATTAGTTAAGTTAAATTTCGAAAAGAGATTGCGGAATTCATTTTCTGGATACAACAATCCTTTACCATGAAACACTGGAGTCCTGTTCAACGAAACATCATTGGTTAATAATCATACGTACCCATGCGGTAGCTGATATGAACGCCACTCCGAAAGCCCACGAAGCCTTCCATAAAGATGGAGCTCGTGAATTGATACCAGATATGTTTGTAAACAAGAAAGCCCTAAATTCTCCATCAGAAACTCCAAGAGCTGTTCTGGAGGTGAGAACCACTGCGAACCGCATTCAGTTTCACAACGAATTTATCAAGTGCTAACGTTCGGTGCACATGACGCATTTCATAAACGTGACCAAACCAATCGCTTAACCTTCGAACAATGAGCATCGAAATCCGTAATGCCAGAACTAATACCAGATTTATTCAGAAAAAGTCCTTTTAGATCCAAAAGGCCTTCGACTGATTGTTCCGGGAATCGACGGAGCACCAGCCCGGCGAGCGTTGAACGATATTTGTGGAAAACAGAAAGTCTTCGAATACTAGCCGAACACACAAGCAAATCCGAACAACTTCGTGCATAATGAATGGAAGATTACGGATCGAGGGAGAAAAAAGTGTTGTTCAGATCCAAATAATAGCTAAGAATAATAATAGGTCACATAAGAAGGTCGACCTGAAATGATTAATTTCGTGCAACTTTCAACTACGATTATCTTAATGCTCAGGATGAAGTTAATAATACAGTCCTGTGCTCCTTGACTTTCTTATAATGGCAAAAAATTATTCGAAAATAAATTAACTTTGTTTTCGTCTTGTTCATGTCAACTTTGCTTGGAACTTCTGCACTCCCTGACTCGCTCGCAGATTTGCGATTTGAGACGAATTCAGCTTTCATGTCACTCACCGTGATCGAGACATTCATGGGAAGCTGGAAATCCTGTTTCTCCAGCTGATAAATCCGCTGACCATCCAAGTTCAAACTCAGAAGCGAATTTACGTCTAAAAGCAATTGTGGTAGCCAGTTGAGTTATGTTACACAATAAATTATGGCCAAGTTCATATCCCGCATCCAATTTTACCATTTACTCGCTAGAACTAAATTTTCCATTTAAACTTAGAATTACAAGAACCGAAATCATCGTAGAGCAATAGGATCCACCTTAAACGTATAATGTTGCTGTTTTCCCTAGAAGGCACAGACAAACGAAAGCAACCTCTGCAAGCCGTCTCGGAATGAAAGAATTTAATTGCTGGATGTGTAGACCATTTTAGAAACAGTATTAATTTCTCAATCCAAATGACTCTCTGACCAGAAACCTGCTTGAAGAATTTTCTAGACTACCAGCACATTACGAACCTTACGCCCAGCTATTGTTAATGCTACGCCTACGCATATATGGTATGGTCAACGATTTTTCACGTACGGCGAAACTTTTGATTCTCCCTTAGTTGTGTGGTACGAGATACCCATAGCAGCACTTCGATAGCCACTTCGCAACATGAAATAATCCTTCATTCTGCTTTTGTACCAACCATGTTCCCGACGCATGCGTTAAAGCAGAGAGAAACATGCAGAAAAAAGTGGTGAAAATAAAGCCACTTATTCTTTCCCCTCTTCACAAACTCCATACTCTTACAGCCTCTCCAAGCCTCTCGTGTTCCGTTCTTATCAACTTTGAAGCTACGTATTTTCTTGTTCAGCAATCGCGAGGTTGTTAAACAGCATACATTTACTTCCATAGAGAAACACATACAGCAATAGCTGACGTTTCGGCAGTATCGTCTTCTTCAGAGCCTGGAAAGGTATACTGATATACAATCTACTAGGCCAAACGCTTCAATAACACTTACAAAAATACGAAAAAGTCTTTGGTAATTACATGATCAACAGTTTCTCGAAAAACACCGCTTTTTTTACGTGACTTCCAATGAGGAACGTTAGAACAACTGATTATAGCCGCATATGGTTGATGACTGCACCATCCCACATCAGAAATTGATGCGAACATACGGGGTCAGGTCGCGTATGACCTCTGGGCATTCATCCCTGCTATTCATTGCAGGGTTACTGAAGCGTTTAGCCTAGTAGATTGTATAACAGTATGCCCTTCCAGGCTCTGAAGAAGGCGATACTGCCGAAACGTTAGCTACTGTTGTATTTTATTGTTTCTCTATGGAAGTGAATGTATACTGTTTAACAACCTCGCGATTGCTGAACAAGAAAACGACGCATTCATATTCTAATGCCGAGGTTAATAGAAAGTCAATCCTGGGAGCTAGGTATTTTGTCATGTTGAGTTACCGATGCAGATATAAATAGGTAGATTATTTGAAGCTTTCTGCAAAATACAGCGTAAAACAAATTGATTTCTCATAAATGTCATCTGGATAATCAATCGACGTCCATTCTATCCACAAGCTCTATAGAAATCCGCCAGTGTTCAATCCGCTTAAAGCCTTAGCGAGCCTCTCATGACGTCGTTATTTACGTCCTCCGAAATTGGTCATATTCGGTTTAAAAAAATTGCTTTTGATGCAAAAAGGGAATTTTATGTGTTGAAAAAAGGTGTTTTGTTTGTCTAGTGCCCGCGTCACCGATTCCGTCTCATCAAAGTAGAGTACCGTCTAATATCGTCGTGGAAACTAAGACGTAGTGGTACCATGCCACTGTTGTAATAACAATCAGTTTTGTAGCTGTGTGGTTACTGTACCAATTATATCGATTATACCGATATCGATTGTACTTAACCACTTTCGAAAACCTGGATTCCCCCAAGTTTTCCAGCAAACACTGTGCTTTTAACTGTGATAATCTTAACAACTCAGGTAAAAACGGAACAGACAACAAAGAGAACGCGGATTCGCGATAGCTACTGATTTTGTGTGGGTCCCAATTTATACCAGATAACACGAAGAGGTTGGTTTCTTATCGTTGATGTATCCCAAAAAATGCTCTACTACTGCGTTTTTAATAAAAACGTCGTATAGGATGCCTACGAACTGCACGCTGCTATTCTCCCGTGGAAGCTGGGTGTGCTCGCGGATCTTAGGAAGTAAATGTGCTACTTATTTGCTGGTGGCGACCTTGTAGTGCTTCCCATGCGTCTTACACTGAACATCGTGCAGGTTTCATATGCGATTCATACACCTGCAAGTACATCCACGCACACATGGATATGGCCACATATCATTGGAAAGATGTAAATTAGTTCAGATAACAGAGGAAAAGCCCGTCCTTAGAACCGATTTGTGTCTGAGGACACTGTCACTTTTGGCTCGCAACTATCCCTTTCTGGCTACCCGAGTACGCCTCACGTCGATTTCCCAACATTTATTCATTGACACTTGGATTTCAGGCGTTTATAACCTTAGTACCTTACCACCTACAACCTCATACCTGATAAGCATCTACCATTATCGACTATTCCACTGGGTGGACATTTGCATATTGAGGAAGGTGGGCTGTCCGGTTTGCATTCGGTGCCTAACTGAAAGAGAAAAAGCCGGCTGGTAATATGGAGTTGAAATCGTCACGAATAGGTCAATGTTGCCGATCACCTGTTCTATAGATGTTTCCTTGTTTCTATTACGTCTTTCACGCGGTTCCGTCGAATCTAAATTAACTTAAGTTCAACCTGAATATGATTTTTACGAGTGAAACTTTTGGACCTTGGAAGCAGATCCCAAGAGAAACGGCTACCAAATCGAGCTGATGTTTACAGGCAAACTTGAGCAATTGACACATATCCTCATAAGTTGTACCGTCCGATCCACATACGCTCATGTTTGCTACTGAAATATTGGAAAATCCATGTTTATGTTTATCTTCTTTCATGGCAGGTTATCATTTGAAATACAACCACAGGGTTGCCAAAATATGACCAAAACTCGGGAGCTAAGTTGGGTTTCGAACCCACGAATACCTTTTCCAGCGGCTCACGTGTTATCCACCACACCAACCGAGGCCCTTGTCTTGTTTTTCTCTCAGGCCGTTTTTTACTCTAACGGTGCCATCAACAATCAGCCGCGAATGATCTGCATAGCACAACCCGGTATTGAACAACTCAGTTAAGCTGAAGCTGCAGTCAGTCAAGTGGAAGATCAGTCAATGCGCAGGTCTTGCACAACGATTCAGAATACAATCACCGTGGCCAACGATGATACCAAACGGCACTATTTCTAGAGGTTCTTAGGTTTATAGACAATCTGAACTCGTCGAAAAAGAGACGGTTCATCTTCAAAGTTGTTTTTATTACGATTTCTCGACAAACACCGCCGACCATTCCGACATCCCTCTCCGAAACACACTAAATACACTCGGGGTATCTGTTGCAACCCCTCTACTTAAAGCATGCGATAGGCCAACTTAATACGTATTGGGTTCCCTGGCAGTCATGTCTTAATTCACAGCTGTTCTTCAATGAGCAAACACGAGGTTGGTATTAAGTCATTTATTAACCAACAATAGCCGACGATTCGGCGGTCTCGCCTTCTACAAACGCGTTTTATTTTTTGCAAGTATTCCAGTTAATGGTGGAGAGCAGCTGCATAGAGTAAAACATGAGTGAGAAATGTCTTGTCATTCCTCGCCCATGTATTGCTCTATGCGGCTGCTCCGCACTAACTGGAATACTTAGAAAGAATGAAACAGCTCTGAAGTAGGGGAACCGCCGAGACGTCAGCATGTGCCGCAGCAGTTGGAGGCGTCGCTGTAACACACACGTGGAATCGATCCACGCGACTATGGCCCACCAAGACTTCCATCCCTTCGGGGTTGGCAAATTGGTACCAGATTTGTCTGGAAGGATAGCAGCACTGGCTCAATACGTCGGTAGGCCACCGCGAATTATTGTAAAGGCTGATATGCATTCAATCACCTCCAAACGATGCTTAATGAAGTTGAATGCATGGCACATCCCTCAGATATTGATCAACGCCGAGAGCTTTATCCTTTATCCTTTTTAATAGCAGAATACTCAAACGAAAGATCTTCCTATTGCTCTTCTCAGATGAGTCTTCTGTGATAAAAGAAAAAGGTAAGACCTACCTATCCCGAGGTGGTTCATATCGCAATGTTCCGGACATTCGCAATCGGGAAGTTCACCAACGGACTGAACACATTTCGCTCCGTGGTGACACTCCAATGAAGAACAACTACTGAAAATTGAGAAAAAAAACATTATGTTAAATAGAAAAGTCGAAAGAGGATGATGAGTGTTTGCAAAATACTAGTAAGCGGCTCGTTGAGCTTTTGTCCATGATGGCTCCCTTCCTTTTCAACATAATTTTATCACAAGGAAATCAACGCCTTTAGTGAGTTTGGGCTTGTTTTGACGATGCATGATGCGAGAAAGATCTTCAAGTACAGATCGAAGCCCAAAGATCGTGCAAAGAAAGAGATGAGGTAATTTCATTAACTTTAAAGATAGCATTAGAAAGAAAATAGGTTTCGTAGAAAAAGTGCTGAGATGACTAACGCTGGCGTGCGGTACTCCTGCTTCGGAACGCATCCACTGGCAGTCATGACGAGATCGGTTGTGCATCGCTCACATCGTTCGCCGCGGGCGCCTCGCCAGCACTCGCATCTTCCGGTGGACTGCTCGCAGTCGGCGCGCGACGACCCGAACGCCGAACATCCGCACGCTGAAACAAGTTCTCGCCGCAGTACTCAAACTACTACAATTTTGCGTTCGCCTACTCCGGTTGTTCTGTCGTTTGCCTAATTCCATCAGAGAAAAGCATTAGGTTTTCTATAGTGATCAACGTCGAAATCATTGCACAAAGCATACACAACTTATCCACATAAGCGTACGAAAACACTAAGTGCATTTATGCGATGCACTGGTGAGATCTATGAATGGGTCGGTCAGCGGTTTTTCCATTCATATAAAGACCACACAACTATGAAATCGAGAGTTTGGTTGGCCTACATGGTGATCGGTGAATAAGGTGGCGCATACGGTGAACCAACCGGGAGCCGTTCATGTGTGAATGGAGTTATACTACAACGTATCCTTGCCATACACGGTATCTTCCAGACCAGTTTTTTCACAGCGTATTTGATCAAATGCTACTAAGAAATACTAGTGAAATCACTACTATGTGCCGAGCTGGGGAACAATCTTTACATATCCATTCGAAGTCCATGTAAAAGTAAACCAATGCCAGAAACCACTGCCATCCCTGACAAGAATACATCACTAGCTGGCAACTGGTGACGATCTGGAAAACGCCAAGAGCCGGTTTCGTTACTCCTATAGAAAGGGAATTTTGAGCAAGTTGAAAACTACCTATCAGGTGAAGTTTCACTGAGGCATGAACGACTGATCGTGATTTTTGAAAACTGGCCGAAATGTTCAAATAAGTAAAAATAATTTGTTCCCGCTGCATTTTGCCTACTACACATACCTCCATCCTACAACATGCGTGGTCAGAAATGTTTAATACGTCATAACTAGAATGTTAAAGAAAAGAAAAAAGCAGCAAATTTGTTCCCACGTTTTAAGCAGTCAGAATATGTGAAGAAGGGTGAAGTAACGTTTTATGGCAAAGCGAGGGCCAACCAATTTCAGCTCGTACTATAATGTAAGAGATATCAACTCCTGTTCAGAAGTTAAAATAAATGGCCAATTCGAATGGGCGATAATGCTTACGTTGGCAAGACTGCTGTCCCAGAGCGATGAGGTGAAGTCCCCAGAAACCAGGAAGGCAGTGGTCACATTTGGCGCCGCCGACGCCAGCTCGGCACCTGAACATTGGTTTTGTACATTCATGTAGTCAACAATTGCACAACACTATTTACTCTAGTATAAAACCCCACAGAAAGGTTAGGAGTGTTCTGCAGAAGACGAATGTAAAAACACTACTAAAATGCTACGGTTGAATCTAGTTGCTAACCGAAAGCACTAAAGCGTCCAAATGTTTGATAGGCGCACAACCCATCGAAAGGATTTTGGAGCAATAAAGAAAGAACAAGCGTGAGTTGAATAAAGTTCTGGTCACTCGAAACGAAACATAAGCGTTAAGTTGAACGCAGTTGGAGTTCTAATCGCGCTATAGTTTATCAGGAACGCTACTCTAATTGCCACATTATTAATGAACAGGTGGATCGGAGCGCTGCTCAACAAAAACAACACGGACGATTCAAACCGATTTGAAAACGAAAAATGATACATTTGCGAAAAAAAGGGTTGAAATATTCAGAAAAGTACTTAGGAGCCTTTTGTATACCTTGAATTATATGAAATACAACCACAATGATACTGAGATATTCACAAAACTCCAAACTACAGGTGTCTGCGGTAGTGATCGAACATGCTATTGAAACGCCATGGTTGAAATCCGGGGCCAGTGCATTCATCACCAGGCCATGCGGGTTCATTGCTCAGCCCTTCTGTCAGCCGGTTTCCCATCCAGCAGTGCCATCAACCATCACCCGTCAATGGGGCTAATATAGGGAGCACAAATAGGCATTGAATACAGTTAAGCTGGACGTATTTTACAGTGAAAGATATTTCATCAAGGTATTTAGGTAACTCGATGGACTGATAAATCAAGTACAAATGAAAGGACTAAATATTATAGAATGCAATGCTGAGGGTCATTATGAAGTTAAACCCTAATTTGAGAACTGTAACAAAAAATTCGGTCCGGAAACGCTGTGAAGAGGGCCATTCAGAGAACGAATTTCATTACTAGAATAATAATTAAGGAACCAGATGGAAGTGGAATAATGCTATAGGATTCTGCTGCAAGGTGTATGATAGACCTTAAATACTGGTGACAAGAACGCCCTCTGTGAACTGCAAAACGGCCAACACCTTATGGAGCTCGCTTGTTACCATATTCCAGAAAACAAAACGCACCAAATATTGGATGAACAACTATAGAAATATTAAAGTGAACAATTCTGAAAAAATTGGGAAGAACTGCTTAAACTGAAATTTCTGAAAAACTACTTAAATTCATTTTTGGTAACCTTTGTGAATGAACAAAAAACATTACCTGAGGTTTCGAGTCCGGAATAACTTTTGCTATACTTGGTACTTCTTACTTGAGTGGCCCCTCCTCACTGGTTGTGCGGACCCCAGCATAATCTCCATCTTTTAAATATTTGCTGGTTAAGCCATTGTGGTTCCCTGGAATCCCGAGGTCAGCCTGACCAAAGTTTGCCCCAGATCTTCACCACTATAGGCAGTCGCAGCGTTTGTGAATCAGAGGAAGATTTGCCACTACGCGACTTTGATACAGGACGGTGGTGGATCCTGGCATTGGTTTTAGCAAGGCTTCCTGATGGAAACGCCGGACTCCTTCTCAGCTTCAGAGACTCTGCCAGAGGGATGAATCACCTCCTGTATATCGCAACCAGACACCCAGGAGCACCTCCCAGCCACGATGAGGCAGTTTGGGAGGAACTTATACTACGGACGCTATAAATCCCGGTATCTATCATAATCAATCCATTACTCAGTCAAAATTCTAAGTGTAATTTTTAAGAAGCAAATACTGGCAGAAAAACGAATTGATTTCCACTTCATGCTTTTGAATACACCGCAAACATTGTTCTAAGAGTATTTTTTAAATTACATGTTCGGTCGACATTAACATAGTTTACGTCCAAGGTGAAAAAGAAATATGAAGTGAATAACTATATTTGAGAGAAATCTAGAAATAATTAGTGTTTCAAAGGACACCTGCAATTTCCATCAATGTCACATTTTGGTTCGAGTGAGCCCAGACTGTGGCATTGACAGTCATCTGAAATAAGCAATGTTAGAGTAACGAAGCAAGGAAAACTTCCAGTGTGCTCACTCTGAGTGCATGTATTCGGCTTTTCGAAAAATAGAGAGTATTCAATGATCAGCATCTAAGGGATAATTTTTACTGGATAACGCTTCTATGGATAATTTTTCCACCCACTATTTTCAATGAAGGCGATCACGAAATACAGATCCCGCCTTAAAGCAGCAGCGTGCTACTTTTGGAAGAAACCAGGAAAAACTCTGGATTTTATGAAAAAGGAGGTAGGAATGAACCTCACTGACCTATAATTCTATCAAAGCACTTCATACTATATAGTAACCAAGTCGTGTGATACATATTTTAACACACATGATTTTACATAATAAATGAAAAGAGTCATTTGCATGACTAAGGAATAGTTCACCTATAATTATCACGACGATATAGTGTGGATGAGGATCAGGATGAGATTATCCTAAGTGAACACACTATATCGTCGTGATGATTATAGGTGAACTATTCCTTAGTCAACCTGTCGTCTATATTAAAGACTAATGAGGCACAACCGTTAAACAAGCTAGATTCCGACAGGGGTTGTACTGCATGGACCATATGTAAACCACGGGTACGGTCGAAGTTTTCCGAGAATACCACCTCACCCATGTCCTAACTTTTGCAAGATACAAAAAATGATTTAACAGCTCACAAAAGAAACATTTCTATCAGGATTGATCGACCAAGGAGTGCATCTGTCCTACATAAAGACGATTGGTGACTGTTATCAGAACTGCACCATGAAAACACAGCTTTTCATCGGTTTCCTACCATAACCATGGAAAAAGGGGGTTGACAAGTGACACCATACCACTAAATCTGTTTACTACCGCATTTCAGTGGATAAAGAAGCAACTCGATTGGGATCAGAAAAGTGTACGTATTGATGGAAAATTCCAGTCAACTCTTCGTTTTTCCGATGGCGCCGTCATCTTTTCCAGGACCACTGGTGAAACAAAGGCGATGCTGAGTGAACTCAACGAAGCTGGAAAAAAGAATGATCTGCGTATAAATATGGCGAAGACCGAGTTCATAAAAACCCATGGTGTCTAGATAGTCAGATGGAATTGGCTGGTTCTCTGATTACAGAGAACACCTTGTACATGCACCATGGGTGTTCAGTGAACCTGGAAAACAACATGAAGATGAAATTAAATGGAAGAATGAAGGCAGCATTGGCCTTTTAAAGAAACCATCGACCAACTAACGAACGTAAAAATTCGCATTCACTTATTCGTCTCATAAGTCATTCCAGAGCGCTGTTATGTAGCGGATATATGGGCTGATATTTCAATCACGTAAAGAATAATGCGCACTACTCGAGGCACTTTAATAATTTCGTCTAAAATTTAACCGGCACTCACCACGTCTCGCCGAAATGAACTCAGACCTTCGAAACCTCTTCCACTTTCGAAATCCAGAAGATAATACATGTACGACGAAGTACAAAGGGGTCAGCCATATAATAAGTAAAACGGATGGCACATGGACAAAAAGGACAGGGCAGTGGCCTCCAAGAGGATGTAAGCGTCCTCATAGACGATCACCTAAGCGATGGGCAGACGTGTTCGTGGCTCAGACCGACCATCTTAATTCATACCCGGAAACGATTTTAGGTTCATGAAATATGCCTCGTGAACGTCAGGATGTTCGAAGCAAACCGCAAATACAACCACAACGTTGCTGAGATATTTGCAAAACTCTGAACCGCAGGTGTCTATGGTGGGGAACGAACGCGCTATTATCCTTTCCGGGGAGTAACGCGTTCACCACCACACCATGCGGGTCCTTTGTTTCGCACTTCTCTCAGCTATTTCTATCGATCTTTTTGCCACAGCAATCAAACCGCAAACAAAGACGATAACTGTGAAAAAAGATACGAATGGAAAACATGCTAGGATCCGCATTGCTCATGGTGATAGACCATCCGGTTATGCAAAAATCCAAGACCTTTACCTAGGTTCTTCTTTCATTATCTCGAAAAGGTAGTGATAGCTCAGGAATACTTTTTCTTGAAGACATTTCGAGCATTTACTCAGAAATGTTACCTAACTCAACGACATCATCATTCCAAAAATGATCCGGAAAGTAGTCTCTCTATCAAAAAATTTCTTCTCACTGTGCTTTTGTTGTAGATACAAAAAAAGCGCGGCTTTGTGAAATTTTCAGCACAGCAATCAATAGGGAATCAACGAAAAACTCCTGCCTAGGTGGAGCACATCCTAGAACCAGCTGTGCACAATCGTCACAAACCTTTTTTCGGATTCTTTTCATTGAAAGTTGCCCCTCGCCTTTTTCCTGCTTGATTTTCCCAGGAGGTCAACTTCCTTGACTCCACAAAACTTATCAAAAACTCAATGCCATGCAATTCCTAAGATCGACTTCCTATTAGCTTCGGCAGTGATAGAATAATTCATTGCTTCTGTGATGAGCAAATACTGGGGAACAGATGGGATGTTCGTCGAAGAACAAATGCTTATCAGCGGTCAATCGGTATCATCAACAACCGTCCTGTTCAAAAGAGCTTCGCTGGGCGAGGTTTCCTCATTTGAGCGGTGCTCCAGCGAAGAAGACACTACTCGATACGATGAAGGAGATACCACATCGACACTACGAACGAATGTGGACCATAGACTAGCATCACCAGTGCTATGGACGACGAAGACGACGAAACAACCAAGGCTGACCTTTTCCCTACAGAAACCACTAACGCGTGGATCCGCTGAGGAAACAGAAATTAGACCCTATAAATATATTCATATTTGAGCGATTGGAGATTACCTCAGTATAACAAACGTGAAGGAGAAAGAGAAATGCAACCTAGGACAGAGTTTAGATCATATAATTCTGTCCTCAATGATGCTGAGATATTTCAAAACTCCGGACCGCAGGTACCTGCGGTGGGAAACGAACGCGCCGAGGCTGCCATTCATCTGGGAACGGGAAATAGGTACCGATCAATCTAATGCAAGTACACATTCTCGAGTTTACGTGGCAACGCTCTAGCATGGCTATCTCAGGATTCCAAGCAGAAGCGACTCGATCAGCCTTAAACTGTGAAAACAACGAAAAAATCTTCAAGCAGTATCAGAAGCCACACGAAAAAAAGTGTTCGGAGAGTGGATGGTTGATGCGAAGAAATGAATCAAATGAAAGTGTTGGGATCAGAAAAGTGTTATGTCGGGTCATGTGAAAAGAAAATACTCACAAAGAACAGATTCTCACCGTTAAGAGCAGAGACAGCCGAGTGGCAGTGTGTAAGCGGCATGACGGCGATCGGCGATCGTCGCCGACAAGCAGCCAGCTGCCGGTGACAGTCGGAGGCGTACAAAACGCCGTCCTCCGCACAGACGCGAGCCGACGGCGGCGGCGCGGAAGAGCACTGGTATGAACATACGCACTCGCCGCGACGGCACTCCTCGCCGAAGCCGCACTCGACGTTTGTGCACGCATCTGCAATTGCACACGTCAGATAGCTCTTCAGCATAGAATTTGAGTTTATAAACGACTAATCCAATGAAACTGGGGATTTTTCAAATTAGTATCATTAAGAGGGGTCGTCCAAATATCTGGATAAAGAGGTATCATTAGAAGAATATCTCTTGTGAAAAAAATCGGGGCACCAGTGCTTCACTAAACGCACTATGCCATAAAATGACGTTTTTGGAAGAATTTCTCTGTTTCGCACGACAAGCACCTGCCTTAATTCTTTTGTGCGTACAAGGAAACTTGCTTGAGATAACTGAACAAATTAATAAATAGCAAGCATTTCATGACAATAAAGCTCATCTAAAGCTTTACCCTCATCTAAAGTGCAAGCATTATCTCTTTTTCCACGCTGATATAAATACCTTTTGCCTCACTTCCTCACAACGGTTTCCCGCCTCATTGTGGCTGAGAGGTGTTCCGGGGTGTCGGACTGCGATGTACAGCGGGTGGATTAGCCCACGGCAGGGTCTCCCAAGACTGAGCCTAGCGTTTCCATCAGAAAGCCTAGTTAAGAGTAAACCGATACCAGAATCGACCACCGCCCTGCTATCAAACTAGTAGCATGGTGGTAAATCACCCCCTCATCCACAAGGGCGGCGACTGCCTGTGGTGGCGACGACCTGGAGCAAACTATGGCTAGGCTGACCTCGGATCTCCAGAGAACCACTATGTCTAAATCAGCAAAACTCCGAAAAAGTAGAGATTATGCTGGGTCCTGCACAACTAGTGAGGACGGGACGTCCAAGTATCCCAGTGAGTAAGTTTTGCCTTATTTAATTTTACATAAGAAAGCATCTCAAAATCACATTGGAGCCACTTACCGCATTTTCCCTCGAACGCGACGACGATGAACTTTGTCTGCTGACATGCGCTGTTCTTCAAGTGACATTCAGAAGAATATGTCACTCCATCGGTTCCACAAACCGGTTTGGTCTGAACATAAGATTCGTTTTTAACCAAATTCGAATTTTAAAAAAAGTATGGAAGATTCGGCAGATCCCACAAACGCCAGGTTGCTGTTGCACTCAGTCGCACAACGACACTCTGCCTTGCCATTTTCACTTATGCACGTAGCGTAGTACTGGCAGTTTTTCTTCTCGCAACCATCTAAAAATAAACCGGCATTTATTCGCCTTACAGAAATAGTTTGTACAGTTATATGAAAACAGAAAAATCTATTGGGCTTATAACTCGAAAGACCGACTTTCTATGAACCTCGGCATAAATAGTTGATATATTTATTTATGAGATCTTATAAACTGAT